TTTTTTTTTGTGTCTGTTACCACTTTTTCTCAGCTCTCACCGAACCGATTTCTTTCAATGATACGTCAAAAGATCACAAATCGTATCTAGTTGAAGACATTACCCTCAAAATTGAAAAAAATTCCCTCGTTCCTCGTAAATGGGGGAAACCTCCAAAAAAATTACAAATTTAAAAATCGCTAATTTTCGATTTTTTTTTACTTAAAACTGCCATAACTTTTTCAAAAATGAACAATCAATATAATTTTTTTTGATAGNTAACAACTTTTTCAAAAATGAACAATCAATATAATTTTTTTTGATAGATTCTTGATGTCTTTACCTATCATTTGATATATTTTTTTTGTAAATTTGACCTTTTTTCTGCCCACAAGGGGGAATTTAAAATGACAACTTTTTCAACTTAACTTTTGAAAAGTTCCGTAAGGTCTGACACTTTTATATATATCTTAAATTAANTGTTCCGGAAGGTCTGACACTTTTATATATATCTTAAATTAAAGCTAATGTAATGTACTTTAATTTGAAAAAAAAACATTTGACCTCTGGACTTGTCTTCACGGCGAAAATGGCTACTGAATGCTATTTTCGTGTGAAAATTCTCGATTTTATTATTTATATTATATTTAACTTTATAATGCTATAACTTATTGAAAAGTTTATGGATCCACACAATTTTTTTATGAGAAATAATATTTTTTAATAAACCCTTTTTCATTCGACATACTTTATCTTAATCGAGATATTAATAAGGAACCAGCAGATCAAGTAGCTTTTGGAATAAAACACCAATTTTTTTAAAATTAAACACTATCTAAAGATTTGCATCGAAGCGTTTTATTTTGATAGTGATTTTAATCACTGTCAGATATCATTATACTTGATCCAACTATGCCACGTCACCACTGTGCCGCGACCCCCCTGTGCTGGGTTTTTGACTTTAATGCCCAATATTTCCTAGAAATCAAGTTTTTGGATATTTACCATCTTAAAGTGATTTAAATTTGCCTTGACTTCGTATAAGTTTATATTGAAGTCAGATTTTTTGAGAATTATGAGATATTGAAAAGAAAAAAAATATTTGGTATTAGTTTTGTTTCATCAGTTTTTTATCAACATTTGAAAACAGTTTGACTCTCAGGTATAACAACAAAAAAGTTTATTATGTTATTTAATTAAACATTTAAATTTTTTAAGGTGGTAACTTCATAAAAAAAACCCAGCATAGTGAGGTAGTAGCACAGTGGGGTCGTGGCATATTTGGGTCTAGCATAGATGATATCTGACAGTGATTAAAATCACTATCATAAAAAACGCTTCAATGCAAATCTGTAGATAGTGTTTAATTTAAAAAAAATTAATGGATTATTCCAAAAGCACAGGATCTCCTATTTCATTATTTATATTCTGATTACAAGTTTTATGATTTAGAAGTGTAATATATGAATAAATATATATATATATATATATATATATATACATATATATTAATAATATATAAATATAAATA